TAACCCCTGAAACACCTTACACATTGCATGCTACTAATGCCCCTGTATACGCTACACCATTTATACTTGCGAACCCCTAGGCACCGTACACATTGTATGTCCATAACCCCTAATTATACTATACCCGTCGTACGCTCCAACCCCTGAGTGTTTTACACACTTCATACAGCCACGAACATGTAGATCTAGTCCTTAGGCGATGCTTTACTGACCAACATATAACACAAACGAATCCCTCAATACCGATCACCGACGTTAAAGACGGAACTACTAACTTACCTACCCAAGATAAGATCAACTAATGGTAAAACAGAGACTTGTTCTATCAACTACAGATAAAACTTGCCCACTAATGATAAGGTAGAAAGCTACCTTACCGACCGACGACGTTATAAAAATTGACATTACCGACCAATGATAAAACAGGAACTTGACTTACCAACTACAGATGATTAAGTAGGAAACTACCTTACCGACTAACGACAAATATGAAGACTAACATTACCAGCCAATAAGCACGCCTATGGCAAATATATTATTAACCTTAAAATTCTCATTTACAAATTAGGAGACACAAATCATATGCAATATGCGTAATAACATTACATTCGTCATACAATCGAAAGTATTATAGCTATGCAATGTAGATGTGCAACCTGAGTATTAAACTCAGTCAGGGACAGTTTAGAAATTCATTCCTGACATAAACTCTCTATCAATTTACAAATAGTTATGCAATGTAAATGTAAATTGATAAGTTTTAACTGTCCAATGCATTTTTTCAAATCGCAAATTCTAAGGGATAATACCTAAATATCGCTTATAAAGTAGTATACTATAATGATGAGATAATTAGGTATGAAACATTATTATGTGAACTCGGCTTTTACTCTCAAGAAACATCTAAAAGATTCTAGAAGGTTCTAGAAAGGCGGTTGAAGACCGTTACATTCCAGAAGCATGATGCAATGCATGATGCAACGCTGAAACACGTTGCAACCTGCAAGGCCCGTTGCAAGCCGCATAGCGATGAGTCACCAAAGAAGCACCGCTATCGCTACTAAGAATACGATAAGGAAAGTCGGAGCGCCCGGCGATGAGTCATCAAAGGAACGCCGCTATCTCTACTAAGAAGCCATCTCTCCGGGACTTAACCGTCGCAATCTCTACCAGGAACAGATTGTCTCCGGTACTTCCCCGGCATATCTCTCTTGCCATTGGCTAAGCCGCATCGCCCGATGGGAGGAGCGAGCCACATTTTACGGTATATAAACCCTGCGCCCGGCACGGAACGGCAGTGATTTCGTCGCAGTGGTTCCAGTCAACAACAATCCAGCACTCAACCAGCAAATACTACGGGGTCCTGAAGACATAGCCGCCATTTTGGTGAGACACAGCCGCCATTTCGGACCGAGGTACCGAGGCTCCTCAGATCTTCAGACTCAGAGGGAAGAACACAGTAGCGAAGTGTACCATAGTAAGGCACATTAGACATTGTCTAACCTTGTGAGTATTTAAGCCAGTTCACATATCCCTAAATAGTAAAGCGCGACGGGCACTCATTATATTTAATCATTATATTTAATTATCCAATATTAACTCAATCTTACATTACCTTTCGAACTCTGAATTTTGAACATAGGCATAAGCCATATATTACTCTGCGTTTCCGATATTATTCCAATCTACGATTTGCATCTGCACACGTCTGCGTTACAATCGTCGATCTATTCAATATTCTATCCAATACTATTCAATACTATTTAATCAATTTCGCATACTTATTTGATCTATTATAATAAATATACTTATGTATTTTATTGTATCACTGCTTACTTATATATGTATGTAACCCTGTATCCTACCACATATTAGCGAATTGAATGCCGCTAATTCCTCTGTACACATTAGAAACTATATCCTGTCAGAAGGTACATTCGCAAGTCATCTCTGAGGTGCACGTTTAGTAAAGTGAACGTCGCATTAGCCTATTAAGACAAGGACCAGAGAACCCGGCCTAGCCGGATGAACACCTATCTCTCTATCGCTTTTACGCTTTTATTACCTTGCATTTTCCAATAGTTGCGAATACTTTACCACACCAACTGACAGTGATTTTGCATATTGATATTCGATTCATTCGACAAGTGTACACCACCCGACCCTATTTTCAACCAATAGAAATATACTCTGTCATAAGGTACATTCGCAAGTCATCTCTGAGGTGCACGTTTAGTAAAGTGAACGTCGCATTAGCCTATTAAGACAAGGACCAGAGAACCCGGCCTAGCCGGATGAACACCTATCTCTCTATCGCTTTTACGCTTTTATTACCTTGCATTTTCCAATAGTTGCGAATACTTTACCAAACCGAATAACAGAGGTCTTGATAATTACTAAGAATTATTACTTCAATATTTAAGACTTAAATCTTTGATGCTTGAAAGTACAAATATTAATATTCTTGATATAGATATTAATACATGTACTAAGACTCCTTTCCCTATTCCACATTATTACCAATTCTCTTTCAGTATCGTTTAATTATAATTATAATTGACACAACGCTTAATTAATTAACAGGTGAAGGGCATTCTCGTATAGATTAACCTTTCATCTCGTCTCTAACTCTTTAACACGTAAATCACGACTTAAACGTGAGTCACATTCAATTACCTTTGATTATTTAACTATCTCAGTTCTATTAAACATATTATTCATATAAATTTATTTAACCATTAGATGGTCTCTCCCTTCCGAAGGAAGAATCAAATTGATCGCGACGAGCAACGTCTCCACAGACTACGCGAACGTAGGACAAGAAGAGTCTTAAATTTACATGTCCAAATATTTCCTACGCGAGTAATCGTTCGATCCCCTTCTCCAGACGTTCATTCGCCTATAAATAACCTTCCGCCCTACATTGATTATTCTCACCCGCAATTTCCGGAGCCCTCGCCGTTAGAATCAAATACGTTAATAACGAACCCTAATCATCAATTCTTACCCGATCCTGAATATTATATCCCGGATCAAAATCTACCAATCACATCGCCAGAGTACGACCCCATTTTACAATTTAACAACGAACAAACCTTTCACATTCTCAACGAGGACACCGCGAATCTCACTCACGACGTCGATAACGTCATCCCCGAGGAAGCGCAAGATAACTTCACTTCTTTTATAACTTACCTCAACCAGCCTAACAATCCGGAACTGGAGCTCAGTCATATTGTAACTCAATTTCAAGCTCCCCACGAACCACGTCAGGACCAATAAACTTTATATCGACGTAAAGGTTTTATAAATGAATAAATGACATTATATTTGTAAAATATCTTTATTTATCGACCCGACCCGTCAGTTTCCTTCTCCGTCCGATACTCTCAATCGAATCTCAAGCTCTCGGCTTCCCTGGGTATAGCCGGCCTAGCAGGTTGCCCATAAAACAAATAGAGAGCAGCTTCTTAAACGTCCACCGAGGTAGACGCGAGAGAAGACCGTCTTGTGCAGAAGGTAATTTATCGCTAGATGAATTATTGGACGTAACACTGGACAGACAAGTGAGGAGCGCGATTAGACTGTGGTTGCGATTGCCGGGTGATGTTCCCATGGCTTTTTTCCACTCTCCAATTAAGAAAGGTGGTTTGGGCGTTCTGTCATTGGAGACATTGATTCCCAGACTGATGTTGGCGAGGTTGGAGCGACTTGTACAATCATCATACGAGGAAGCCCGTATCGCTGGAGGTAGTGACTGGGGTAATAAGAAGAGGCGTTGGTGTATGTTGGCCAGAAAACAGGAAGAGGGGTGGCCAACGGAGTTGTATGCAAAGGTGGACGGATATGAGCTTCGGGAAGCGGGCAATGTTTTAGCGTCTACTCGTTGGCTCGATGACTTTATGGTTCACATACCATCTTCAGACTGGCTCAATTATATTAAAATATGGGTAAATGCGCTCCCTACAAGAGTGAGGACCACACGAGGATCCAAGCGTGATGAGGAGGACGTCAACTGTCGGGGTGGCTGTGGAGTCCGGGAGACGGCGGCTCATGTAATCCAACAATGTTTCAGGACACATGGAGGCAGAGTTATGCGCCATGATGCGGTGGCGTCAGTCCTGGCATCTGAGTTGCAGCGGGGCGGTTTTACAGTCCATCGGGAGCACGTTTTCCGCACACGGGTTGGAGCTAGAAAGCCGGACATAGTAGCATCCAAGGGAGAAGAGGGCCGCATATTGGACGTCCAAATAATCTCGGGCGCTCGGTTGCTCGCTGAGGGACACAGGAAGAAGAAGGTCTACTACGCGGGGAACGCGGAGCTCCTTGAGCAGGCCTCTAGTTTGTTACAGGTTCCACCCCGGAAAATGGAGGTCTCTACAATAACACTCTCTTGGCGAGGGGTGTGGGCTACGGAATCGGCTAATACACTGGAGGCGCTTGGTATCTCAAAGGCAGTCATAAGGGGAATCACAACCAGGGTCATTAAAGGATCCTATATGAACTTTGCACGGTTCAATCAAACAACATCTGTCACTCGAGGGCGTGCCAACCTGAGGATGTCTGGATGGGGACCACCAAGATCTTAATTTGTTATTATTGTATCCATGCAATAGATTACATGTTTACCTTGTTTGTATGTAATGTAATCAATTATATATATGTATCATGGAAAATAAATGTATTAAATAGCCAAATGCCTCGTCATCTAATTAGTGACGCGCATGAATGGATTAACGAGATTCCCACTGTCCCTATCTACTTATACTGCCTCGTGATGCGTCACCTTGACGAGGTGAGGCGGCTTGCGTTCCTCAATGACTCTCGAGGTTTGTTTGCGTCACATGCTCCAATGTACACCAGAGAGCACTTGGATCACAGATAAGATGGCGGTTGGATCAGATGGGTTTATGTGCACCAACGCTCAGTGACACGAACGGATTTGAGCACTCCCTTCCCTTTCAATCGCACATCGTACATCATTGACCGATTAGGTTAGGTTTTGACAGCATGGATCGCCTAGGTTTTTTTGACGGTTTTCGCATTATAATAATAAATAATATTAATGATGACGTTTTTGCAGAAAATCCTGTACCTTTGGCAGGAATTGGTGAATTGTTAGAAGACAATGGGAACGACGATGAAATAGAAAGTGAGTATTAATGATAAAGATGTGACGTTTCTAATTTTGGTGTAATCTCTAAAAATCTTGTAATTTTAAATTCATCTTTCCTTAAGTAGTTTGTGCATTTTTATTGAATTTTATATAATTTGTATTTGCAGATATTGCCATTAACGCAATCGTTGAAATTGCAGAAGGTTTCGTTCAAAGAATACATAGGACATGCATAACCAATTACATTGAAAATACAGTGCCTATGTATACAGATAGAGAATTTGTTATGCATTTTCGTTTGAAAAGAACGCTTTTTATGAGTATAGTAGAGAAATTTAATCATTGGCCATATTTTAGAAATTTAGGAGGTAAGTATTGATTTTTTAAAATTAGATATGTATACTAAAAATTTTGGACTTTATTTTGAATAAAGTTTGATTAATATTTATATAGGAAATGGAGGATTCAAGGTAGTTTCAGCTGAAAAACATATTCTCACTTTTTTATGGTTTGCTGGCCATCAAAGTGCTAGTTTCAGAGATGTTGCTGACAGATTCGATCTCTCTCTTACAAGGGGAGTGCACGACGTGCCCCTCACCGATTCAAACGAGGATTTTTTTATGTATAGTACCTAATTAGAAACAAGTTCTGTTAAAGCGAGAGAACGCGCTTCTCAAGCATTCGTCTGAAAAAAAATGTTGAAGATTTGCCAGCACTTCTTAAGACGTTGCAAAGAAGCATTATCGAAGCGCCCCGGTGGCTTGGTTGGTAGTGTTCTTCTTTTGTAACTGCGAGATCGCTGGATCGAATCTCGCCGTGTGAAACTATTTTTTTTCTTTTATTTTTGTATAATTTATTTTTTTTTTTTTTAGGAACATTTTATAACATTAATAAATATTTTTTTAATAATTGACATTTAAAAAATTTTTTAACATTTTGTTCCATATATTAAAAAAAAAATTCGATTGCTTTCTGTCAAAAATATAAAGTATTAGATGAAAAGTTTTATTTTAAATTTGCATTGATAATTTTGTTTACTAATTTATTTTTATTTATAGTAGTGATATATTTCTCGTATAATATTAAACATTTCCTAATATTATATTTTTGACAGAAAGCAATCGAATTTTTTTTTAATATATGGAACAAAATGTTAAAAATTTTTTAAATGTCAATTATTAAAAAAATATTTATTAATGTTATAAAATGTTCCTAAAAACAAAAAAAATAAATTATACAAAAATAAAAGAAAAAAAATAGTTTCACACGGCGAGATTCGATCCAGCGATCTCGCAGTTACAAAAGAAGAACACTACCAACTAAGCCACCGGGGCGCTTCGATAATGCTTCTTTGCAACGTCTTAAGAAGTGCTGGCAAATCTTCAACATTTTTTTTCAGACGAATGCTTGAGAAGCGCGTTCTCTCGCTTTAACAGAACTTGTTTCTAATTAGGTACTATACATAAAAAAATCCTCGTTTGAATCGGTGAGGGGCACGTCGTGCACTCCCCTTGTTAGTACTCTTGAATCTGTCTTACGGAGGGTTACACAGTTTTTGTATGATATGAGGAATGAAGTTATTCGGTATCCTACTGAAGTAGAGAGACAAAGAACGCAAAGATACTATCTTGAAAGTAAAGGTTTTCCAGGAGTAATTGGTAATAATGTGATTTTCTTCGATGATATATTTAATTTATCACAGTTTTGTAATTCAGTATGTGTAATCTAATTATATTAATTCATTTAATGTATTTCTTTTCTGTTATAGGATGTATTGACGGCTCACATATCCGTATTGACAAACCTTCTGAAGACCCAGTGGCTTATATCAATAGAAAGCATTATTTTTCTGTACACATGCAAGGGACCGTTAATGAACAGAAAAAGTTTTTAGATGTATTAATTGGCTATCCTGGTTCAGTGCACGATGCAAGAGTATTTGCAAATTCCAGTTTGGTCATAAAGCCCTGAAGATTTGCCAATATTTTGTGGAAGTATGAACTTATTACATTCATAATTAATTACTGTATTTTAATCAAATATTTTTATATTTCTTATTCAATTCGGTTAAAATCGTAGATATTTTGTAGATATGAACTGGTAATTATCTATAGTTTCTGTTGTCGATATCAGTAGGCGCGACGGCGTCGCTCTAATTCAAATTATTGTTGATCGACTGGTGGCTTGTACAGCCTCGTGAAGGCTCGCTCCGAGAGGAAAGTGATTACAGCAACGAACATATGTTTACTTGTATTTGCAGCTGATCGATAGCACGGTTCGCAGAGATCTGATTCTCGGTTTTCGGGAGCGTTCCGAGTTTTCGTCACGGAATCCCCTCTTTCTCGGGATCGGATGTTTGTTTCGGCGAATCGGAGCGACGAAAGAATAGGAGTAAATAAAATGTACACGTGACAGCGTGACTCTTATCACATGGGATGGTGAACAAGGTCGATAATGTTGTCGTGTGTCGGTTCGAACGATCGAACCTTTCCGTTGATATACGAGCGATTAATATAAGAGTCTATTGATTATACAAATTTATGATATGCGTCAACATACCGTCCGCCTCGAATGTGATTGACATTCGATATGAATACAATATTTGCGGTCAATGAAATTTAACGTAAATTTACAATATTCAATCGGACAGTTACAATCCAATGCCGCCCGCCATGGCGGAATGATGTTCGCTATCATTGTTGATGTCGACCGGAAGAAAACAAAGTTTTGTAATGGGGCGCTTGAACTCGGATTCAGCCGTTTTAACAGTAACGACTCGAACGAGCCGATCGCTGCCTGGATGGCATTTAACTATACGCCCAAGCTTCCATCGACTTGGAGGGGCAAGTGGATCGCGAAGTAAGACTAATCTACCGGGTGTGGCTAGAGTTTGTACAGAACGCCATTTAGGGCGTTGTTGTAAGGTATTCAAATACGTATCTTTCCATGCCTTCCAGACGCGTTCGCTTAATTGCTGCACTAGTTGCCAGCGAGATAAACGATTTTCGGCGAGTTCGAGTAAGCTCGGCTCCGGGATCGAGCTTAAGGATGCGCCGATCAAAAAATGACCCGGAGTCAGAGCGGTATAATCGTCTAAAGCGTCGGACACGGAAGCGATGGGACGAGAATTTAAGAAAAGTTCGATACGGCATAGTAATGTGGTTATCTCTTCGAACGTTAAGGTGTGCGTTCCAATAGCGCGTTTAATGTGATGTTTCACAGAGCGTACGGCAGCCTCCCATAGGCCTCCGAAATGCGGCGCAGCGGGAGGTATGAAATGCCATGCAGTATTTTCTTGAGCTATGTAATTTTGAAATGCTGGATCACGCGTGGCTGCATGGAAGGAGGCCGTAAGCTCTTGATCGGCACCTTGAAACGTGGTACCGTGATCGGAGTACATTGCATGCGGAATGCCACGACGTGCGGTAAAACGATGATACGCGGCAAGGAACGACGCGGTAGTATAATCCGATACTGCGTCTAGGTGCAGTGCTTTCGTGGTCATGCATACAAAAATTGCGAGGTAAGCTTTTTGGGCTTTATGACCACGACCTTTAGTCGTACGCACTAGTAACGGACCCGCGTAATCGACGCCGGTATGATTAAAGGCGCGTGAAGTCGGGTTCACGCGGAAATCCGGCAGGTCGCCCATAAGCTGTTCGGGCACGCGTGCATTCTCCCGTGTGCACACAATACATTGGTAGAGGACGGTACGCACAGTGGCGCGAGCGCGAATTAGCCAATACTGTTGTCGCAGGAGCGTGAGTGTGAGTTGCGGACCGGCGTGTAGGGCCGCAACATGAATCTGTTTGATAAGGAGGTGGACCAATGGATGTGATTTTAAAATTAGCGGATGTTTAGCGTCATCTGACAGGCTTGCGTGCTTTAATCGGCCTCGAACGCGTAACAAGCTGTCTCTGTCTATGTAAGGAGAAAGCGAAGCTAATGGACTAGTTTTTGAGACGCAACGTAGTTGTTTTAGGCGAGCTATGTCGTCAGCAAATAGATTGAGTTGAATCCGTCGAATCCAAAAATTATGAGCGGCGACCAGCTCATCGGACCGGAGAGCATGCGGGTGCGAGTGAGAGGCATCGCATTGTGTTTTCGTCTGGGTACGAGCGTTGCGAACGAAACGAAGGATATACGCGGTGACGCGCAGTAATTTCGGCCACGAGGAAAATCGGGATTCAAGCTCCCAATGGTTTACCGAGCATGTCGCGCAAGCTTTTGAATCGCGTAATTCACTATGCGTTGCCGGGATGTCGGATATGACTGGCCATTGATCGGACGAATGTGATAACCATGGTGGGCCGTGCCACCAAAGTTGGTGATTAATAAGAGAGGCAGGGTCGGTACCGCGAGATGCGCAATCTGCGGGGTTGTCGTGCGTGGGCACGTGATTCCATTTTCCATTGGGAAGAAGCTGTTGCATTTTTGAGACTCTATTCGCGACAAACGTCTTCCACCGCGAGGGACTTTGACGTATCCAAGCGAGGACGACCATGGAATCGCTCCAACACCAATAATCGATATCGGGAAGGTGAAGAGCAGAACGAGCGAAATCTATGAGTTGTGCTAGTAGGAGCGCAGCGCAAAGCTCCAAACGCGGGACGCTAATGGTTTTGAGCGGCGCGACTTTAGACTTAGCGAGGATCAGAGTATTGGTAATGCAACCGTCGCCCGAAATGACACGGAGGTAAAGCGCTGCCGCATACGCTCGCGTGGAGGCGTCTGCGAATCCGTGTAATTCAATTCTGTTGTTCGGATGATACTGCGTCCAGCGCGGAATAGTTAACTGCTCAAGGAGAGGCAACGTCAATTGAAATGTTTCCCATTCGCGCAACATCTCGGCGGGAAGCTCGTCATCCCAATCAGACTTCGTCAACCAGAGATGCTGCAGGAAAATTTTCGCGGTTACGATAACGGGAGCTACCCACCCGAGTGGGTCGAAGAGTTGCGCGATGACTGATAATATTCCGCGCTTAGTTTTCGCGACTGTTATTAAATTCGAAACTTGAAAGGTGAAGATATCGTGTTCCGGTTTCCAGGTAACTCCGAGAATTTTAATGGAATCGTGATCGTGCAAATCTTTGTTGGTTGCGAGTCCATGGTCGGAAGGATCGAGATCTTCAAGGAGCGTAGGGCAATTGCTCGCCCACTTACGCAAACGAAAACAGCCTTGAGATAGCAACGAAATTAACTGATCTCGTGTTTGTTTGGCAGTTTCAAGGTCGTCGGCGCCGAAAGTACAGTCGTCGACGTACGTTTGCTGTAATAGAACCGGTACCGCGAGCGGAAACTGTGAGCCTTCGTCCTCGGCTAATTGCCGTAAGACTCGCAAGGCCAAGAATGGGGCAGCGGCGGTGCCGTAAGTGACGGTAAGAAGTCGGTATTCGTCGACCTGAGCCGTCGGAGACGATCGCCATAAGAGGCATTGATACTTCGTATCGAGAGGGTGTACTAAAATCTGCCTATACATTTTGGCGATGTCCGCTGATAGTGCAAATCGAGGTTGTCGCCATTGGAGGACGACCGCTACTAGATCGGTTTGCAATTTTGCTCCTACATGAAGAGCGCTATTTAATGATTTGCCGGTGGCGGTGTTGCACGACGCGTTAAACACAACACGAAGTCG